CCCCGAATCTTACATAACTCAATTTCTTTTGAGTTCCTATATAACTACCCTTGATAACACCGGCCTGACCATCATTGGATATGCCTCACATCCCGTAAATAAATCCCTGGTTCCATTGGAACTCAATGTGAACAATTTGAGAACTGCCCTGCGTTTGCCCACACTCGAGGATCTCAATTTAAATGCCTATGCTGCGACCCCAACTGATGAGGAATTAATTAAATTTCCTAGAGTTTCACTCTTATGCGACCTCAATCACCAAGCGAACTCAATTTAGGCCCAAAGGACTGCCCCGTGTCTGGAACACCCTGTTTTCTATCGTCAACTGTTGTTTGACAGGGAAGGTGGGCAGTCATGACCCAACCTCACACGCGATGATCTCCATAGTCTACGGGATCTACTTTAACCTCCCACTGGACTATGCTCATTTAATATTCGAGGATATGGTCGGGTTAATCAAGAAGAAATGCGCGAGTCAAAGAGGCGAGAAATCAAAGGTCAACATGAACCAACCCAACCTCATCCAGCAACGTTTCCTTGGTCTGGCCTTTAGCGATTTGTTAGCAGCGAAGCTCCCCTCTGTGGAGCCAATTGCAAGGCTCTACCCGTTCAAGGAGTTTCACCCCACTGAGCATGAGCAAGGGTATAGAAGCCCTAGACCGTTATCAAGAGCCATGCTCAGGTTTCTTAGCCATGAAGACAGAAAAGCCTATAGACGTGGATTCAGGCGACCAGAACCGGTCCCTGAGACCCCACCACGAATTGGAGTACCCCTAGGAGAGCGACTTGAAAAAATGAGGGTTGAGGGACGATCAGATGAGCCTGCAGAGGCTGATAAGACGAGTGAGGYTGCCCCTAGAATCCGAAGTCCTCCAACCAAGAAGGCTAAGAAGACACAGAAGGGTGTCGACTCTTCTGTGAAAAAAGAAGGGGAAGAAGAGGCCTGCAGAAGAAGAAGGCCCAAGTGGACCTCTGCCGAAGCCAAAGAAGAAGAAATCCAAGAAGGCTCAACCAACAGATCCTGTGGTCACAGAACAAGTAGCCACAGGGCCTGTGATCACAGAGGCCGCAGCACAAGAGAGCCCGACAGAGGCCACTACTCATAAGCGCAGAAGGTTGCGCAAAATCGTACTTGAAGTTTCCCCAACAGAACAAATACAGGAGGTTCTTTCCAAAATCCAAGCGGAGTTAAAAATCCTATTGACATATCCAAGTTGGGGACAGAAGTAATCTTAGATGACGAAGACGAAGAAGAAGAGCTAGGTGAGGGCGAAAAAGATGCCGAAGGCACACAACCAAGTTACACTCCCAGTGCAACCCACATGTCTAGGGGCCCTGTTCTAGAGGGATCCCCTATTGAACAAGGCAMGCACATGCTGAACCCAAACCAGCCTACCCACGCAGAGGACACTCTTTCGTCCTCTGTGGATCGTACAGCTGGGCAACCACAAAATACTCCTCCATCCTCTCAAAAGGATGAAGGTTTTAATACAAGAGTTCCTTCCCCCAAGGACTCGATACATCTCACAGAAGCATTCGTTGCTTCTTCACACAAGAGTGACCACCCAAAGCGTGCTTCAGAGGCACAGTGAGGCACACAGAGACAGAGGGTCTAGAACGCCCTCTGTCCCTACTAGATCACTCTGCCATGCTAGGCTCTGAACCTACAAGGCATGAAATCTACAGAACACCAGTAGGCTCTCCTCTGGGAGATGTTCGAGGATCTGGTGGAAGTCCCYGAGCAGACTACGCAATACCAGTCGCTGAGGGCGCCTCAYGCTYYGAGGCTACTAAATCACCATGTGTTGGTGGTTTAGGTTCCCAGGATATGTATGTGACAAAGGGGGAGCTTAAAACCTTTGCCACAGAAATATTCAAAAAGATAGACGAGTTGAAAAACTTGTTTATCTCCCTATCGATGGCAGAAGACCTTTCACCTATAACAGAGGCTCTGAACGAGTTGAGCTCAACCACAGCAGAAGTCAAGTCTACACTTTCAACTCTTTAGAGATCTGTCCTACAGAAGGATGATGTCACATAGGCATTCAAAGCTCTAAGCCTCAACCCCTCCTCCATCCAAACCTTGAAGACTGAACTKTCAGRWATGGCCGCCCAATTCTCTGCCGACTTCATCTCTGCGGGSTACAYGGATTACTCCTYTCTCAAAGACGAAATMAAGCAGATGTTTTCCTCTGCGGTAACATATGGTATTGATACCAAGTCCTCAAGGGCCAACATCAATCACCTTGCTACCCGCAGAGAGATTGATGCCATGGTTGAAGCTCTAGGTAATCTCGGGTGCAAGCATACAGACTGTCTTCTCAAAGAGGTCCGTGCCTCCAATACAGCGATCAGAGACTACAAATCACAACTCATGAAAGATGGTGACCTCCTCAGAAGCGAGATCTACAGAAGCGTCTCCAAACTGAAGTGGTCAACAAAGATCGACATCAATCACGCCTCTGAGCTTGCAAATGAGGCAATTAAGAAGATGAAGAAGGCGGCCACTAAAATTTTGCAGAGCTTGGAGAAGGCTCCCCTGGATACTTGCAAGGCATAAGCCAAAAAGAACCATGACAATCAAGAAGGTGATGATCATGATCGTCATGAGGGGGAGAAGAAGGCCGAGAATAAAGCACCAGAGCCACTGAAGACTCCTGCCAGAGGCGTCAAAATTGTAGACTCTACAGCTGCCTTGTTCTCTAAAGACAAAGAAAAGGCTCCAGAGCCCAAAGGCAAAGGTAAAGGCATAGCTGTAGAGTCACCACAGAAGGGGACGTCGTCTAGCACACAGACTCCACAGGAAATAAATGAAGAGGAATATAGAGACTACCCAACACTCCTTGAAGCTTTAAAGGCATATCTGGCAGAGGCTCTAGCAAGGAAAGGTAGAGGCCCCATCCCTCGCAGAGAAGGAGAAGGCTCTTCATCAYAACTCCCACCAGTCCAAGAAACGTCCACGGGTACGTTTGACGCTCTGCAAGGAACCGTCAAACCCATCCTTGCAGAGGGGTCAACCCATAGGCCAATTCTGGAGGAAGAAGAAGCCAAGGTGCCAGAGTCCGCCACGGTAGGAAGGGTGTCTGAAATATTCGAATCTATGAGCAAGATTCCAATGCCAAAAGTCAGAACAGAGCCCGTTACAACTTTGTTAGAAATTCAAGTGTGGAGGTACTCCGCAGCAGACACAGAGCCTCCCTATGATCCAGAGCTCACAGGGATCCCTTCTGCCGCAGCCAAGTTCCAGTTCTCTAAGCTCACAAGGCCTCGTGAGCAAGTCTTCTCAGAGCACATGATCACCTCCCTAGAGACAATTTCTCTAAGGACAATGCTAAAGAAGAAGGTGCTCTATGCTCAGTATGTAGTAAGGAGGGAAGATGGCAACCTGTATACTTTCACAGACGCTGACCTCCACAACCTCTGTGTGTTTGATGTCATCTACATGCACAAAATTCTCAACATCTACATGGAGAGGAGGTCAAGYTACTCAATATCGCTCAAAAGGCTGCTTGAGGTCATGCGCGCACAAGTAAGATATTACAGCCAGAAGGACTTCGAGCTTGCGGTCAGGTTAGTCCAAAAAGATCTAAAGATCTCCCCTCCATACAGCAGGCCTGGTTGGATACTTAGGTATCATCCAAACTCCATTATTCACAACCCCACTTTTGGGTTTGTTTATTTGGATAAGGATGAAATCCTAAGGTTCTATGATCCAACAGAATCACACAAATACTCAACAGAGACGCTAGAATGGATATACAGAAGAGCAGCGGCAGAAGTGGACAAAGGACATCTAAGGWTGAGCGAAGTGTCTCACATCTTGGAGGCGATCAAAATGCAAATCAACTTCAGAAAATGGATCTTCAACGTCTACAGAACTATCAAGTCTGACATGTTATACGCAGTAGACGACTTTCCAGAATCTGTCGTTTGATAAATCTTCTGTACCAGTTTTTGGCCCATGTTTCACAATTTTGTAATTTCTCTTAATTCTTGTAATTCTTTTCAGAGGATGAAYWTTTATCTCCTCTTGTAATTTTCTTTCAATTAAGTCATTTCTTGCATTTAAATTTCCAATTTTACTTTTTCATACTTAGGGGGAGATTGTTAGCTATCATTTCATTTAATGTAAAAGTATGGAAAAAGTAAATACTGCAAGTGTTGACAGAAGAGGTTCCACCACAGAAGACCACAGAGGACCAACAACAGAAGATGTTCAATCATACAAGTGAAGTGTGACAGAACCTCTGTTGTCTATCACAGAGGTTCTGGAAACTGGTCCTCTGTAAACAAAGCGTACAAGTCAAAGATGATAGAACCTCTGTTGTCTTTCACAGAGGTTCTGGAAGATGATCCTCTGGAATCAAGTGCCCTCAAGGCACATCCAGCAGAGTCTCTGGGATGGCTCACAGAGGGTCTGCAGTTTTATCTTCTGTGAAGAACTTCTTTACTGTTTTACTTAGGTTAGTTAGCTGATCGTGCTTATCACGTGACTGTTTGTAATCTGCTTTATTTGAACGGCTTAGATTAATTTGTACGTCTAGGTCATGTCAGAAAAGCCGTTAGGAACGAGTATAAATAGCAGCTTAGGCCTATGTAATTTAGTGTGCTTCAATATCGTATTGTAAACATTTTCAATCAATTGAAAATCATTTGAAGCTTCTCTCTCGTGTTCTTCATTCAACTGTGTTCTTCATTGATTATTACTCTGTTTGTTCTTATTGTTTCYGTTGCACTAATATTGTCAAATAGATCATCCAGAGTAAGTGATTAATATCCAAAACTGAGTTAATCGATCCTATCAACTACTAATTCATCGTCAAGTAGCACATAATTCGAACATGCAAATAAAGCAAATGATGGTGATACAAATGAAAAGTCTGCACCCGAGTCAAACAACACTTTAGCACATATATAATTCAGAAGGAAGGTGCCTGTTAATACATCTGGTGCGACCTCTGCCTCGTTCTTTGTCATCTGGAAAGACCGACCCTGCGCCCTTACTTGTCCTCCTCTGGATATATTAGGTCTTCCCTGAGTACCCGATACATTACTCCCATAGTCAACTTGGGAGTTCTCAACAACGGACAGTTGGGTCGAATATGATATGAGGAATTACAATTAAAACATCTTCTATTGGCTGGGCAGTTTCTTGACAAATGACCTGCCTCGCCACATTTGTAACATTTTCTCAGGTTCGCTTTACAGTCACCTTGATGAACTTGTCGACATCGAGCACAAACTTTCTCACCGACTTTCTGTTCAGTTCTATCATAATATTTCACTGATTTTGACCCTCGAAAGTCAGACGAAGGTCCTTCCCATTTTCTTTTCTCAACCACCTTACCATCTATCTGTCGGTTCTTGTTTCGCTCAGTAACTTCCGCCTCATCCACGGTTAATGAAAAGGTAGTGGGGTTCATGGCGATTACAAATTCACGGATCAAAGGTTTTAATCCCCATATATACCTCTCCACCTTTCTGGATTCTGATGAAATGTAGTGTTCAGCAAACCGAGAGTACTCGATGAACTTCTTAGTATACTCCCGAACAGTTCCATTGCCCTGTTCTAACTTCATAAAATCTTCCTCCATTTGTCTTACAACCATCTTGGGACAAAATTGATCTTTCAATCGATTCACAAATTCAGCCCAAGATAACGTTTGTAAGACATCTCTCATGTCCAACGACTCAACTTCCGACAAAAACAGAGCATTAGACTTCAATACAGATACGGCAAACCGAACATTATCTGCTTCTGGACATCTAATGGTGTTAAACACATATTCAATCTCCTTGATCCAACAAATACCCTTAAGTGGATGTCTTTCTCCAGAGAAAGTTGGCGGTTTACAAGTCAAAGACATTTTAATGTCTCTTTCCTTGTTGTGAGCAATTGGAACAGAGGATGTACTTCCAGTCTTTTCGTTTCATCCTTTGTAGGTATTCCCATGATAGATGTCAATGTTTCCCTTAACTTTCTCATTTCTTCTTCCAGCATATCTCTTGTTATGTACACTAGATGTGGCACCTGCTCTTCATGAACATTTCTAGAGTGAGATTCTTCATGCTCGGAATGAGTCTCAGCCTGACTCCTTCTATGTGCCTGATTTCTTCCTCTGCCCCTTCCTCTGGTTCTTGCCCACCTCTATTTCCAGAAGTATTTGTTGGAAGATTTACAGGTCATTCTTTTCTTTCCTCAAACTCAAGACGAGCAATTCTCTCAGATCTCCGCGTTTGGCTAGACATCTGCAAATTTCAATGTTAATAATCACGTATTCACATTCCCCAGTATAATGAAGTATCTTAGTCCAGGTATGTACCTGTAAATTCATAATTACACTCGACATATGTAATTAAAATTTACCTAACACACTGTTCTTTTAACTCATCATATTTATTTCCAATGGTGCTAACTATGTCTGGGACCCCTAACATGTAATGAAATAGTATTAGTCTAGGTATCATGCTTTGAATACCTAAATCCCTTAAACTCAAGCTCCGATACCACTTTTTGTAACACCCCATACCACACATTACATGTAACATATACTCTATTTACAATAAATACATGTTTATACAGCATTCAGGTCCCATAGTACAAGAATCTACCATACATAATACATGGTCCAAAATTTCAAAATACATTTTTTGTACTAATAAACGTTCATCTACCAAAAACTATATGTATCACGGTCAAATCTTCATACAAATATGCACAAAGGAAAATATCATATTCTTCCCTTCCCCTTACCGTCAGCACCTCCTTCAATACATACTTAAAACCACAAAATGAGGGTTAGATCAGAAGGTCTAGTGAGATCCCTTTTTCTATGTCATTGCAGGGTGAAGACACCAAATCATTATTTCATATAAAACAAATATATGAACATATATTTTCAAACCAATATCTTACCAATTCCTAAAGCCAATCATTCAACTTTAACCCTTTTTAATCAGTAATAAAGTTTACTCAACGCTTCAGCTCATAAACTTGTTATCACCTTCTCAATAACATCCAAACTATGATTTCCATTAAAAACCATAATCCTAAATCAATAAATCACTAAAAAATAAAGATTCAAAATCATAGTAATCTTAAAAGGATATAATAGTAAGAGTTATATCTCATAACGCATACATACAAATGCCACCCTTATATCCAAAGGTACACATCTCCTTGATATGCCACCCTTATCCAATGGTACACCTCTCCTTGATATGACACCCTCATCCATGGTACACCTCTCATTGATATGCCACCCATATTTCATCATCAAAACTTTTACAAAATATTTCCAATTTGAATAGACCAAAGTCATAAATGTCTTAATGAAATATCAATAATTCGAAATCATATTTATAAAACTTCTCATTCTTTATCATATTAAAAGAATGCCATAATGATGATTTATTTAATCAAATACCTTAGTTAAAATACAAATCTGGTCAACTTTAAAATTTTGGTCAACATGGACTTGGTCGGACGAACAATCCGGACAACATGTCCATCTCTTAGCCGGTTTATAAATCCGGACAACATTAAGAAAACCTAGTCAAACTTTGGCCGGTTTACATCCATTAACATTTTCTAACACATTCAATATCCGATCATCATACAAATGGATTTCACAACTCTGTTCAAAGCCTTCGCCGGTTTATGAATAACCGGACAACATACTAATCGGTTTATATCTAATCCGAACAGCCTTTGATCGCATTCCTACTTCTCTGTTTAAAATATTTATCCGTTTTACAAAGTTAGAATCTCATCAAGATACTTGTCCGATCACCACTATGATCGATTTCCTATATATCATATAACACTGTGTCTGGTTTAGAACAAATCTGGACAACATGTGTCCGATTTATAACCAAGTACAAGTGATAGTTTATAACATAATTCAATATTAAATTTAACTAGATTACCATCCAAAATGGAAGTAAAATGATAGAATTTACTCACCTTTGAAATTCTTTTGGAGCCAGCTTTTAGAAATCCAATCAACAAATAATCCGGTCAACACTTTCTCAAATCCCTCTCAAGTTTGAAATTGGCAAGAAGAGATGAATGGAGGTTTCATCCTCTTTATATACTTTCTAAAAATAGAATGGCGGCTAAACCGCCCTTTTTATGCATGCTCACATTCATGCATACCATCACATGCATACATACATATTTCACATAAAATAATCATGCATATAAACTTCATGCATACTAACATATTTTAGTCATGCATATTCAAATTATGCATACACATTTATGCATACACATTTATGCATAAAAACTCACATACAAGCTTGATCAAATATATCAATTTATCATGCTGTCAGGTAAACATATAATAAATAATCACGTATTAGTTAGTGATAACAAAGACTTGGTTATCACATGTGATAATGTGCATTACTAATTAAAATAGATGCATGGAACATATACATGTCAATGTGATTCTATGCGTACGTGAAGGTTGCCTAAATACATGTATGGACGCATGATAATATGCATACAGGGATATTATTATAATATGATAGTATGCACCTTAGTGGTCAAGAAAGAAGATTTAGTATAATAAACTTCCACCATCCTAAAAGAGTTTTATATTAATAAAGCTACACCGCCTTTGTTAAGATATATATGAAAAAGATAAGGATAAACCCTCTCTTATCTTTTGGAAAATCTCTATGAAAAGGAAAAAGAGTGTGTATGGTGGTGAAGGTTTTTCTTGAGAAGAAATTTTGCATAAAAGTTATTTGAGGAATCTGTGTTTACTAGAAGAAGTTGTTGTCTGATTAAATCTTCCAATCTGTGCATATCAAGGTGAGTTTTTGTTATTAAAATCCTTAAATGATATTATTTGAAGTGTATGATTTTGAGGTGAATTTTGATGAGAAAAGATGATTGTTTCAAGTTGATTTAAGCTTTATAAATCTGAGTTTTGAAAATATTTTGAAATATAGATGAGATTTTTCTTTTTTAAAACAGTTGTGGATGATATCCTATTTTAAGGATTAAAGGAGATTTTGAGTTTGGAAAATGATATTAAAAGAACTGTTGGTTCTTGAGTTTCAAAATTTTGTGATAAAACTGTTTTGAAACCATTATTGGTTAAAACTGTAGAGGATATTCCTACAAGACGGTTGTGACTTTGGTCTGTCTTCGTTTGTAATTAATCTATAGATTTTGATGGTTAAAACTATAGAGGATGTTTCTTCAAGATGGTTGTGACTTCGGTCTGTCTTTGTTTGGAAGTAATCTATAGATTTTGATGAAGAAAAAAGGGTGGCATATCAAGGAGAGGTGTATCGTGGGATAAGGGTGGCATATCAAAGAGAGGTGTACCTTTGGATATAAGGGTGGCATTTGTATGTGTGATTGTCATTATAGCTCTTGCTATTATATCTCTTAAGAATGAAATAGTTTTGAGTTCTTACTTCTTTTTTATTTGAGGACTCATGAATGTTGCTCTTATTAGAAATAATTGTAAAGATGTTATTGAGAAGGGGAAAACTTGTCTTATGGCCAATGGTTTTGGATAAACAATGTTTTTAACAAAGTGTTTGATTTATGAGGAACCAGAAAGGCTCTTGTTGTTCCTTGAAATGAATCAGAGGGCTCTGGTTGTTCCTCACATAGAACCAGAGGGGTTCTGGTCGATGGTTTGATTATGATACAAGTCTTTTACAAATCGTTTACTTAAATCAGAGGCTCTGTATCTATTAGATAGGAGCTCTGTATCAAGAATTGTGTTTTAAAAGTATTTATAAGACTTCTTGTCTTTATTTTAAACTTAGAAACATTTCTTATACAAAATGACCTTAACAAAGATGAAAAACTAGAGGGGCTCTAGTTGGTCTTCACGTTTAACAAGAGGGGCTAGTGTTGGTCATGGTTTTTGAGCCAGAAGCTCTGGTCATGCATGAGCTTTATATTTTACTCTTTTATACTTGAAGAACCAGTTTATCTATCTTATATACTTGATTTTGTCATAATATGAATATTGAACTTGAGAGGGGCTTTGGTTAGTGTAACCATAAGCTCTGGTTAGAGGAACCAGAGGGGCTCTGGTTCTACTAATCGATGAAAATCTTTTTAAGTCTGGTCTATAGAACTAGAGAGTCGATGGACTAAATGAATTATGGATTTATGCTTCCATTATGTGAAAAGTTGATTTTAAATAATGTTTTGGTGATTTTCACCCTGCAACTACATGGAAAAAACGATCTCACTAGACCTTCAGGTCTAACCCTCATTTTGTCTTTTAAATATGTATTGCAGGAACAGTAGAGTATAATGATAGTAAAGGAAAAGGAAAATATGATTTGTTTCCCTGCATGCATAGCTATGTGAAGATCAATCTGTGGATCTATTTTGTAGTTGAATGTTATGTACTACAAGAACAAGTGTTTTAGAATTTTTGGGTTGTGTATTTTGTAATATAGTTTCTTGTACTTTGGAGCTTAGTGGGATAATACATGTATTTTCTTTGGATGAATTATATGTTATATGCAATTTGAGATAAGGGGGTGTTACGGCCTCCCCAAAAGTATATGACGAACATGCATTGGAACAACATCACACATCACATCATTCTTGTACTGGCCAATGGAAAAGTAGATCAGTACCTGTTTGGTGATTTTCACTTCTCCACACTCATTTAACCATTGAAGTTTATATGGTTGTGGATGCTTTAAAGTGTGCGAATTTAACTTCTCAACAACTTCAGTACTTACGACATTAGCACAACTCCCACCATCAATTATTAAAGTACATACCTTGCCTTGCAACAAACAACGTGTGTGAAATATGTTTCCCGGTGTTGTGTGTCATCCACCTTCAGTTGCAAGTTCAAAGCTTTTTAACCAC